AATAATCTAATTATCAATTTCTATGTTATTTAGTTTACAAAAATTTGGTCTAAAAATTTAGTTTCTTTAGTATTACCCAATTTCTACCATATGCTTTGAACCGGCTTAATTATTTTGGTTAGAAATATTTCCTGGTATTACAATATAATTTAATTTTACTTGGTACAACACAAAACAAATAATTTTATTTGATCATAATTCTTGGGCTTTTTAAATTAGGAGCCCACTTTTTTATCTCAACATTGTAAAAGAGTTTAATATATGTTTTGTTACACAATTATCAACTGATCAGAGTGGCGCAGCGGAAGCGTGGTGGGCCCATAACCCACAGGTCCCAGGATCGAAACCTGGCTCTGATATAGTTAGTGGCTTCCGGTGGCGTCCTATTTTTCGACTTTTTTTTATTCTACCCCAAAAGTACTTTTGTACATTATCTTCTGCCTTTTTGGGTAGGGCCTTTTTGGATTTTTTTTTCTTTCTTTCCCAGAAGCACTTTTGTACTTATCTTCTGGTTCTGTATTTATTCTCGAGGAGAAGCACTTTTAGTCAAACTTCATACATCATAAACAGATTCTGAGAAACACATAACCACGTTTCGTTTGGATGTGTTTTTAAAATGATTGAAAACGCTTTTAAAAAAAATGTGGGTTCCAAAAGCACTTAAAGTGTTTTTTCAGGATTTACTTGCATGTTTACTAAAAATTAGTTCTAAAACATTTTCAAGAAAAACGTTTTTTGTTATTTTAAAAACACATTCAAATGAGCAATCTGTAAATACAATTTTTACTTATAAGGCTTTTTCCTGTATTTTTTTAAATTGGCTTTAAGTTCATGTAAAGATTCTCGATAAAAAATGTTCATGTAAAGATTCCTCTCTCTGGATTGTTTATATATAAGGCTTTTTAGCCAAATTGGTTGCTAAAATTTGCATAACTCCTCATTTTGATCATTGAGATTTGAAATCGATATAATTGGTCTCAGAATTTGTCCACAATTAATCATTTCCTTCTATGAAAAGTTTCCATAAAATAAAGATAAAATGACAAAATATCCTTAACTTTTGTCAAATCATTTTGGTCTATTATTTATTATATTGATGGTAGTTTTGTTATTTGGATTTTAATTTAACATAATTTTTCACTAAAAGACTAAAATGATTGATGATGGACAATCTCAGGGATCCTTTTATTAATTTCAAATTTCAGAGACTAAAGTGATGAGTTAGCAAATCTCATGAATCATTTTATTTAAAAAGCTTATATATAAACACGAGTAGGCCAACGAGCCTACAACTCCTTTCTCAGCCATTCCTCCTATCTATCTCTTTCATCTTCTTCCTCCTCTCCTCTCAGTTCTCCTGTTCCTTCTCTCATGGCAGCAACAACATCATCAAGTACTTCTGCCGAAGCACTTCCCAATCTAAGAATCGTAGTAGAAAGTAACCCTTCCAATTCACAATTATCTGAGTTGGGTATTAACTCATGGCCCAAGTAAGTAATGTTAATTTCTCTTAGCTCTCTCATAGCGAGATTTTCAGTTGTAAAGTAATTCGTTTGTCTTCCTGAACATTTGCTTGACTAAAAACAATAATCTAAACTACTCTAACACGGGGAGAGGTCTAACCACATATGTTGTTTTTCATGATCATTTGATATTACAATATATGCTTCCTAGCTTGTCCGTCTCTCTGTAGTCTTGACACGCTTAATTAATTTGCCAGTTATACTTTTGAACATTGGTTCTCAAAGTACTTTAGCTGGCTAATACATCAGGATAGAGATTCAAACTTGTGTCCGAATTGAGGACCGGCCACACAAACATGGCCGGTCTAACCACATATGTTGTTTTCATGACCATTTAGTTGATCCGTCCTTTTGAAATCTTGGCAATTAATTTGTTAGCTATACTTTCGAACTCGAGATTCTGAATAGAGATTAATTTGTGTAATCAGATGGGGGTGTCCACCGGGAAAGTACACATTGAAGTTTGATGCAGAGGAGACATGTTATCTGGTGAAAGGCAAGGTGAAGGTTTACCCTAGAAAAGGCTCATCATCGTCATCTGATAAGGAGTTTGTAGAGTTTGGTGCTGGAGACCTTGTGACCATTCCCAAGGGACTCAGTTGCACATGGGACGTCTCAGTTGCTATTGATAAACACTACAAATTCGATTCTTCATGATCATATCATCTTCATCATCTTCATCATCTTAACTAATTAACTAATTAAGCTAGCCATCTTCCATTAATTCCTGTAGCTTCTAGTTAATTTGCTTCTAGTTTATGTCTAAACATGAAGGGCCTGTAATTAAGCAGAAATTCTACAATGCACTGAAGCACTGAATGGTTAAATTAATATGGTTGGATTTTGAATTTCTTAACGTTCAAATACTAGTGCATTTCATACACCAAAGTGTTGTAAAAAATCCGTAATTAATTAAGTTCTTGAATCCAAGATAGAAAAAAGGGATTAATGCAGTAGTTCTACTTTTGTTAATGCAAAGTGATCTTACTCCCTATGCGGATGAGATTATGATTTTACGGAGGTGCTTTTTTTGTTCCTTTATTGACTGATCAGCTCATTTTTTAGGTTGTTGACCCAAAAAACTTATTTTTAAGAGATCTTTCTGTGTGCTAGGAACACGGTCCCTGCACAGTAAGTGTCGTAATACAAATAGTTTGATACTTAAAAAGAAATTTCAACTGTTTGTATTATGATACTTGGTGCACCTAGCTGTATTACTGGTACACTAATTTTTTTTTCTATCTATTTTTAAATTGGATTTTTAACATGCAATACAATATTGCAGAAAAGCCCTCCTTTTTGTAACTTTGAGCACGTGAAACCGTATTTAAAATTTTCAGAAATCTCGAACTCTTTTGACAATGTGGACATACAAATAATACAACAACAAATTAACAATACAATGCAAGCAAAAGCAGAAATTTTTTGCTTTCAGTTGCTCACACCCAAAATGCACACGATTCCAAATGTCACATGTGTTTTTGTCATCATACTTTTTGCCAGGGAGTTTAATGAGTCAAATGGAAGAGTTGAGTTGAGTTGGACGAGATAATATTTTGATATGGTTGCTGAGGGAGAGCATCATATGTTTGTCCTCTTTGCTTCTTTTTCATCACTCCAGTGTGAATGTGACTTGAATATTTGATCATATCATACGCATGGTCTTTTTATATCTTGTTTTCCTTTTCTCAGTTCTGCGTGCTCTCGATGCCTTAACCATTTACGGTACTCCAAAAAGAACAATCTTTTCAATTTTTGTGCAGTTCTTCTTAATAAGCACGTTCATATTTTACTAGAATCCAAGTGCTTTTTAGGAAGCACTTCTGAAAAAAGCGCCAACTAATAAGCGCTTTGGTTGGTAGAAAACACTTTTGGCCCTTCATGAAGCAATCCGGAACACTCCCTAAATTATGAATCTTTGTAGTGCTTTACTAAATTAAGGAGAAAATAAAGTTTGTATAAGAAAAAAACAAATAAAAAGTTTGGAACTCTTCAATTCCCATTTCCTTTTTCTGTTGTTTGTTTAACGTAGTAATGATTTATGAACTTGTATGATACGGTGGTCTTCGAATTTCCGTTGATGATATCGATTGATTGCTGTGGTTAGGTAGAGACCCACTGTGGAAGTAACCGATCACAAGGCCCACGGTGCCATTCCAGAGCCTGGATTGGTTGTCATTGCTAGAGTAAGGGATCGTCAACAAGATCATTGCATAACATAGCTCACTTTCTCCAATCATGATGCAGATTGTTGGACTGATTCGTGTATGTAAATCTTGCCGGCGTTTCTTTCATTATAGCAGGTTACCAAAGTGATGGAAATGATGGCTTCTGCTGATATTTTGTGTCTTGGCACGAAGTCTGTGCGCGGTATATGCAGTATTCCTTTTGAATAATGACTACATAGGCGTTGCATTTATCTCGTGCATACTCGGATTGTAGTTTGTCTAGTGAAGTTAGTTGTTTCTATTAACAGGCTTCAAGATGTAAGAGCCACCGAAATTGACAAAGTAGATATGCTTTCGTCTTTTCGCCTGGGTGACATTGTGAGAGCTCATGCTGTATCCTTTATGTGTGGAATGCCCCTGTTAGTACTAGGTTAAAAACATTGTCATGCAGATAAGCTAGGTGTTAGCAGAGATGATGCCTTTCCGTTGCAGATAATTTTTTTTTTTTTGGGTGAACTTCGGTGATATGTTTATTACTACGTCAATTGTGCTGGATATTCATATTGCAGTGATTAGTTACGGAAACAGTTTCCTTGATTCTTTCATTAAGCTGTCACTTGGAGACGCTAAGGCTTATTATCTGTCAACCGCAAAGAATGAAATATTGGGCGTTATTTCTGCGGAGTGAAGCAGCAGCAGCAGGTATATGAATTTTTTTGCTAGTGTTCACTGAATTTTTTGCTAGTTCTATAATCATTAGACGCGTATCACTGAATTTTTTGCTAGTGCTATAATCATTTTACTAGTAACACTATCAAATCCACATGATGTGAACTCGGATGTGATTTTATCCTTGTTCATCGTAGGTGAAACGATGGTGGCAAGAAGCTGGACAGAGATGCAGTGCCCCGGGACAGGGCAAATCAAGCATAGAAAGGTCGCTGAGGTTGGAGGATGAAAAGATGAACAGAGAATTAATGTGTTATCTTCTTTCTTCTCCATTTGTTCCTTTTTCGAAAGCGTGTAACCTTAGAGTTTCTTATAGATGGTGTGCTCAGGGAAATAGGTTATAGTCAGAAGTTATGGTAGTCTGACATAAGATTTTGTAACTCCGTCGACTCCCCCATGCACCTCTATGTGAAGGGTTTTACAAACTGGCAGTCTCCGGTTTATGGGTTCGCTTACGTTTTACTATTTTGAAAAATCGTGCAGGAGATCTGCGGTTTCTTCTTGAGTTGAGTTGTACTTGTATTTGCTGCATATATTCATCCTATTCCAATATCATCATTCATTCATTTGAGTTAAGAGCTCACGAAAAAACTCGAGATTAAATTAAAATGTTTCATATAAAAGGCTAAGAATCCACCACACGAACGTGGAGTTTCGAAAATTACAAAGATAGATTCGGCATTGCATTTCCCTTATACCAAGGAGATTGTATCGTCTTCACTGTCCGTTTCATCAACCGGATCTTCCATCGGCATCTCTTGGGGACAGAAGAAAGGCTTCGGAGGCATCTGCAAGGCTTCGACTTCACCTTCAAGCATCTCTACGACTTTGCTCATGGAAGGGCGATCCGCCGGCTTCAGTTGTATGCACCACAATGCAACCATGATCATCTTCTTGGCTACTTTCTTATCATTCTCACAGGCATCAACAATTTCAACACTCAATCCCTTTTCTAGTTGATCATAAATCCAGGAAGGGAAGTATATTTGGCTTGAATTTTGTGCATGCGCATTCAAGTTCTTCCTCCGACCGGTCATTTCCATTAGCAACATTCCGAAGCTATAAACATCAGCTTTGTGCGAAACACCTCCGAGGTTTCTGTAGAACATTTCTGGAGCTATATATCCCATCGTGCCTCTTGGAGCAGTAAGAGAAAGAGTGTTATGATCTCTAGGGTAAAGTCTTGCAAGACCAAAGTCGGAGATTTTAGCATTGAGGTTCTCATCAAGAAGAATGTTGTGAGGTTTGATGTCGAAGTGCAGAATTTGTATATCACATCCCTGGTGTAGATATTTGATTGCACCAGCCACCCCGAGAGCTATCTCGTGCATTCTATCCCAACCAAGAACAACGCCTTTTTCTTTCTCCAAAAATATATATTTTTCGAGGGATCCATTAGGCATGAAGTCGTAAACAAGAGCTCTTTTCGATCTCTCAGAACAGAATCCAATTAGTTGCACCACATTGACATGATGGATTCTTCCAATTGTAGCAACTTCATTGATGAAATCTTGCCCTTCACCTTTGGATCCACTCAACATCTTGACTGCAACACGATGACCATCCGACAGCTCTCCTTTGAAGACGGAACCAAAGCCCCCCTTTCCGAGTTTATCTTTGAAATCCATTGTAATCTTCTTAATATCTGAATATGAATACCTTCTGGGCATAAGATTCTTGTATGCATCCAAGAATTCTTCAACCGCCTCGTCCTTTCGGAATTTTTTCGAATAGACTCCTTGACTCAGTTGTTTTAGAGAAACTACGATCACCTTGACGTCCGAATAAAAATACTTTCTTCTCCTAACATTCTTGCATGCATCCAAGAACTTTTGAACTGAATCATTCAGGAGCTTTTTCCAAAAGCCTTTTTGACTGACTTTAATTTTTAACTCAATCATCATTTTCATGATATCCGAAAACGAATACCTTGTCATTCGATTCTTGCAAGCAAGCAAGAATTCTTCTACTGCTTCATGCTTTGGGAACTTTTTCCAGTACAGTTTGTAGCAACAGAAACCCAACAAAATAAAGCCGAGCATCATTCGCGCCATCAGAAACCACCCTGCCATAAGAACACAGGAGGGTATTAGAAGTTCATCCTGTCATTGGAACTTGAATTTTCAAAATCCACCACGCAATACTAGCAAGTGTTCCTTTTATATCTCTATATTCTTTGGAATTTAATTTCAGCTAGTTAAAGAACATAAACATTCTTGAAAAAGACTTACCGATGATCTTGGCGGCTTCTATGAGATCTGTGTGAAAACAGAACGAAGGGAAAGGATTAAACCCAGCAATTTTAAGACCAATATTATAACATTAGCTAGTAGAAAATGTGGTGCTAGTCAAAACTTACCGAGGAACATTCTTTCACCGAAACCTGCAAAAGTTCATTAGTGTCAGTAAGAGATTGAAGAAAAAATCTTTATTTTAATTCATATAAAATTAACTTGAATTCGTGACTGTTTGCCAAACTGATGAAACCATACTCACAGTAGAAGGATAGGTATCGGTCGTAGCAGTAACCGACGGGGGTAGCTGCGTACGAACCGTCGGGGCTAGCTGCATACGAACCGTCGGGAAGAAATCCACCCCAATAAAGCTCTATACCGCTTCTCAAATCATCACGGATGTGAGAAAATGAAAGGCCACTTCCAATTTGTGTGATGCCATAAGAAGACATAACGATTCCGGTCAGATTACAAGAGGGTTGAAGATTGTCCACTCCATCTTTCACCTTAATATAAGAATATGAGATTGTAGCAGATGATGAGTTAGTAGTACTGCAGTTGATTTTTACGTAATCCAGAGACTCAACGGGTGACAAGCAATCGAAGAAGGATATATAATTAGTGGTATAAATTAAGTCGTAATAGCTGTATCTGTATTCATCCGCTGGCAAATATCCAGATTGTTTGAAATCATCAAACGTTAACCGGTTGAGTGGCCTAAAAGGGCAAGTATCGTTTAGCAAGCCAGGATCGACAACATGGATTGTATGACGCTCATAGTCGATTGGCCCTTTGACATAATATGTAGCGTTGAAGAGATTTAAGGTGGTTCGATTATGCTCGCACGATAGCTTAGCTGGATAGCTGGGGCAATTAACTTCAGAACCGGTTCTGAGGCTAAAGGGGTATCGAATGTCTAGGAGATCTCCACATGAAGCATTCCTCCGACAGTTTTCTTCTTCCTTAGCATCATGACACACTACAAAGCTGATAGCTATGACACATGTTAGTAACAGGATTCTTCTCAGCATTGTAGTAAGCGATAAGATGAACGGAACTGAGGAGGAAGAAAAGGAATGAAAACTTGTCGCGTTATTTAGGTCGGATTCTGTATATTCCACATGGACTTTTGGTAAAGCAAGAAACTTAGTTGCTTGAACTTACCAAGAAAGTTCCCCTGTTTGGAAATTATTGGAGGATAAGTGGCTGGTTGCATTAGTCAAGGAGACAGGTGGCTGGTTATTTCGAAATTTCGGTTCGGTTTCGGTTTTGGCAAAAAACCGAACCCAGCCCTATCAGAAGCACTTCTAGTAAAAGTCTTCCAAAGCAAATTGAAATTTATAATAAAATTGTAAGTGTTTCTTGAAAAAACATGTCAAGTGTTTTTCGAAATAACCACATAGTAAATGCTTCTTTTAAAAAACACTTCAAATGCTTTTTTTAAACACGAAGCACTTTTAACTTTGTGTATCAAACATAGTCAGAAGCGTTTTTGGTGATCTAAAAGCACTTTTAAAGAATGCATAATTGCAGGGATAAACAGGTATTGATGAGATGACCAAGACTAGTAAAGTGATAAGGCCATGGGTGGACACCAAACAATATATAAACTTACAAGAAGGCAAAAACTTTGGCAACAACCGCCTTTGGCTCTGCCGAAAGAGAGGTAGAGATGAATACCGATAGCCTGCTCCTCCGGCCTCTGTTTTTCTTGCTTGTAATTTTCTTCGCCACGGCCATTAATGTTGTACCAAGCCAAGCTGCAGCCGATGATCATGGCGCTGACTGCCCAATTTCACGGTGTAGGCATGATGGTCCCGTTATCAAGTTTCCCTTTCGCCTACAAGACGATCCCCGACACTGTGGCCATCCAGATTTTGAGGTTTCTTGCTTGGAAAACAAGACAATGATTCAGCTCTCATCGTCATCAGGACTGTTTGCCATACAAACAATAGATTACGAAGCGCAACAGTTTCGCGTCTACGATGCGAACGGTTGCCTCCCCAGACGCCTTCTTAACTTTACCCTCCCCATCGACTCATCACAGCTCTTTCATATCTCCGATTATTTCCCGTCCTATACTTCAACGCGTACCACACTGATAGAAAACGTTACATTATTAAACTGTTCCACAGATCAAAACTTTACCACAATCTTCAATGAGCACTACTTTCCAATCAGCTGTCTCAGTGTCCCAGGGCACCAAGTTCTGGCTTTTCCACCCTCAGCTTCTGTCAAGGATTTGCCTGTGCCAACTTGTAGCACTTGGAGAGAACTCTCTCTTCCGTTACGAAATCTGGATCCTATTAACAGTAAGTGTAAAGTGGACAGTTTTTTGTGGCTGGAATGGTATTCCTGGAATTTCCCATCATGCCAAAACTGTGGACGAGGTTGCTTTCTCAGTGACAGCAGCAATCAATTGGAGTGCTATCCTTCGCAACAGCGAAAAGGTACTTCTCCAACCTTACATTTCGATTCAGAAATTGCAATAACAAGATAACAACATATCCTGAATTAATTTACTTTGTTTCCTCCAATTCAACTCACTTTGTTTAACTTCCCTCTTTGTAATTTCAGGCCATGTATCAAGTAGGAGGTCGATTATCTGGGGAGCGAGCGTAGCTTCATTTGCTCTTATATCAGCGGTGGCAGCAGTAGTATTTTTTTTCCATGTAAAACGATCAAAGAGCATACAGGAAAAAGAGAATCAACTCAAAGTTGAAAGGTTCCTAAAGGATCACAAATCTCACGTACCAACAAGATACTCCTACGCCGATATTAAAAAGATGACAAATGGATTCAAGAAAAAGTTAGGTGAAGGAGGTTTCGGAAGTGTTTACAGTGGAGAGCTTCCGATTAATGGAGTTCCAGTCGCCGTAAAAGTCCTCAGTGACTCGAAAGGAAATGGAGAAGATTTTGTTAATGAAGTGGGAACCATTGGCAGAATTCATCATGTCAATGTGGTTCGTCTACTAGGGTTTTCTGCCGAAGTAGGCAAACGTGCGCTTCTTTACGAGCTCATGCCAAACAGGTCCCTAGAGAACTTCATCACATCTAAAGATCAATCCAATAACACTTTGTTTGATTGGCAGAAACTTCATAACATCGTCAATGGTATAGCGAAGGGAATCGAGTATCTTCACCAAGGGTGCGACCGCATGATCCTCCACTTCGATATCAAGCCTCATAACATACTGTTAGACCATGATTTCAATCCTAAGATCTCAGATTTTGGTCTGGCTAAACTCTGTTCCAAAGAAGACAGTATCATATCTATGACAGCTGCTAGAGGCACCGTGGGCTACATTGCACCAGAAGTGTTTAACGGGAACTTCGGGAGCGTGTCACACAAGTCCGATGTGTACAGTTTCGGGATGCTGGTGCTTGAGATTGTTGGAGCTAGGAAGGAGGAGACTTCTCTTGCTTCTGGCAACAATGAGGTCTACTTTCCAGAATTGGTTTACAATCGTCTCGTTCAAGGAGAAGCGTTGGATTTGAAGCTAGATACCGATGAGGACACTCAAATTGCTAAGAAACTAGTGATTGTGGCACTTTGGTGCATCCAGTGGTACCCGGTGAATCGCCCTTCCATGAAAGCAGTTGTTAGAATGCTAGAAGGAGGCTCTGAAAACTTGAGCATGCCGCCAAATCCATTTGCCTCCACAAGTGCACAGACAGATCAACCAAGAACAACACTGTCAAGTTAACTAGTCACACTAAATAGTTGTGTCCTGCATATTTGTAAAAGTAGCATGAAAACTACAATTACAAGTGCTTTTTAATAAAATTTTACTGCCTAGTGGCTAGTAAATTATCATTTTACCATGTTTTCGGTTAGAATGTGAGAATTCAACGTAAACCCAATTGACAATGAATGGAAAGGCCAGATCTTTTAAACTGTTGTGCAAAGCTTTAATATCTCAGGGCGTGTTTACATATGGGTCTGACTATTCCTCTGTTTACCAACTTAAGCGGAATGCATAGTTCTGCGGGCCTCACGTAAAATCAGGAATTCAATTACTGATATCGCCGAAATTGGATTACCTTGGACGAAGGTAGTATTTGGATTCCGGGGAGAAGGCTCCATCCGGAATCAAATTATTCTTCCCAAAATGCCCTTCACCTTCAGTACTCCTTTCGATCGCTCCTGCGCCACATCTTCCATCTCTGCGTGTAGCCATGCCTTACTCCCCCTGTCACTGCCTCACAAAACCCAACCCCCAAACCGGATTCAAGAATTTATCACCCAAACCCCAGATATTAAACCCACAGATCCAGTGAAGAAATCACTCAAAACCTAGAAAATCTTGAAATTGAAATACTTGGCAGGTATGAGGGGTGGTGATTGTGGGGTAGGTTGAGTGGGGAAGATGAAAGAGAGGGGGTAAAGGGTAGGGATGAGTTTTTATCTTCTGCTGGGGAAGATGAAAGTGAGGGGTTGTGATTATGAGGGTCTGTTCGCTTGACCCACCGCCTCACCATTTCCAGCATATAAACAACTCCCTCTCTCTTCCATTCTAACTCTTCACTTTAATCAAATTAATAAAAATAACTAATGAAAAGATTATTAAAAATATATATGGGAAACAAATAAAACAAAAAAAAATAAGGGCATTTTAGTAATCATATTAATTTATATTCCGATTCAGGTGAATTAGTAAACCACTTATATGAATTTCGTTTCATTTTTACTCCGATTCTAGAACCATTAAGTAAATAGCTTCAACAGGAATCTGATTCTGACTCATTCTCAATCCAATTCTTCTATTTTGATTACGGTTACGTAAACGCGCCCTCAATTTAAAAATTACGCTCCCAACACACATCCCCTATCTCATGTGTAGCAGCACACATAAATAATACATATCGAGTGACATGAAAGCACATGTTGCAAACACTTGAATAGTCCGCTCTTATAAATACAATGTAAGTATTCCACTTCAAAACTAATTGGAAAAAGATGAAGGGTCCACAATCATTTAAACTAATAAGTGCGTTGAGCCCATGTGACATGTTTGAATTTCATAGTAGGAGACAACACGGGACTTTGACAGATTCATCCAGAAATCGGAATGAGGATTATCTCCGGATATTCTTTGTTCGGATTCCAGAAATCTTTAATCGTGTTCATTCATCATACATCGTGAGGTCAGAAATCATTTGAATTTTTTTTATTTTAAATTGTATACAAACAATATTTAACAAAAACTGATCGCATCATGTACTATAAATAGACATAATTAAAGAATTTTCAGAATTCTTACAAAAAGAATTTGAAGAAAATTCTCTTTCCAGAAATCCCACCACAATTTCTGCCAAGACCAATTGAGAAATGTATACTTTTTCATATAACGCATTAATTTACCACAATTTCTGCCAAGACCAAATGGGAAATGTATACTTTTTCATATAACGCATTAATTCACCAATTATTCACGTCATGGAGTATGGAACACTTTGTCAGAAATTGTGGTCCTGGTATTGGCAGTGTTCCGGATGAAATTACTTACAAGTTTCCTTGGAAGACTTTGACAGACTATTCGACGTCAATGATAGTTGACAGGTGCATTTTATCCCAAAAGACAAAGAGACACCAACATTCAACGAATTAATAATTTAAAGTTGAAAAGTAGACCTGATAATTTTTTACATGATTTATTAACACGATATATAAATAATAGAAAAATAACGAATTTTAAGTAAACACGATAACTAATCGAATCGTTATTAGGTCACATGATAAGAACTCGTTAATAGCATATCCTTATCAGATTTACACGAAGGTGAAACACTAGTTAACTGTTTCGACACTTTAAGAAAAAATTATTTTGATGATTTTAATTTTTTAAACTATTAAAAAAATTTTACTATAAAATACAATAACCTTAGTATATATATTGTGTTCTAAATATGTATTATTGTATTATTATTCTATGTAAATTAAAAAAAATTAAATCTTATTTATTTATTTTTATACTAAAAAGTGAGATTTAAAAAATTATAAAACACATTAAAAATAAAATATCAAGTAATTTAAAAATACCAAACACATTAAAAAAAATTATAATATTAATTTACAAGTGCGAAAAATATAAAAATAATATGTAAACTGATCGCACCCTTTACGCTTTGAGGATGGACACATCGTCGTTTAAGTTTTTAAAACCATACAAACCCTTGTGAATATTATTTTTAAGGGAGTTCAAAAAATAAATAAAAATCATAATCATTAATGTACAAGTCTGATGAAAAACCAACTCCCTTCACTTTGCATATCCTTGAACATTTGGCTAACTCCCTTCATTTTGCATATCATTGAACATTTGGCATTTTGTGGTAATGTACTAATTTATTTTTCATTAGGCTCTTATTTTGTAGTATATAATACTTGAAAAACAATTTTTTTTTTTAATTTTTATGTTTTGAAGTAATATTTATGTGACAATGTAGTATGTATATACTAATTTAGTATTATGTTTTGCATTTCTTTTGGGTCAAATTATGTTTTTCATTTTCATTATTTATTAATTTAAAATATATTTTCTTTAACGGGTAATGGGTCGGGTCATATTATCTGATAATATTAACGGGTCAATTTCGAATCGGGTCATATTACCCTTTTACTTTAATGTGTGTTACACTTAAACGATTATTACATGGTCGTTTAGATTTTAAAAACCCTCCAAATCTCATGAAAAACTAACTCCCTTCATTTTGCATATCCTTGAACATTTGGCTAACTCCCTTAATTTTGCATATCCTTGAACATTTGGCATTTTGTGGTAATGTACTAATGTTTTTTCATTAGGCTCATATTTTGGGGTACATAATACTTGAAAGACAAATATTTTTTTTATTTTTATGTTTTGAAGTAATATTTATGTGACAATGTAATATGCATATACTAATTTAGTATTATGTTTTGCATTTCTTTTGGGTCAAAATATGTTTTTTGTCACATCCCAACCCGGGCCCCCACCACATCCCGGGTTTGACTCCACCGTAGCACGATATTGTCTAATTTGGGCCCCGATCACGCCCTCACAGTTTTGTTTCTGGGAACTCACACGAGAACTTCCCAGTGGGTCACCCATCATGAAAATGCTCTCGCGTGAACTCGCTTAACTTAGGAGTTCCGATGGAACCCGAAACCAATGAGTTCCCAAAATACCTCGTGCTAAGTAGAGATGAGAATATACATATAAGACTTAAATAATCCACTCCGTTGGGCGATGTGGGATGTTACAATCCACCCCCTTAGGGGCCCAACGTCCTCGTCAGCACACTTCTGGCCAGGGATTGGCTCTGATACCAAACTGACACACCCCGACCCGGATTGTCCACTAAGGCTCTGAATCGAGCTGTGTTGACCCAGATTGTCCATTAATTGTCAAATGATTTTTTTATTTTTATAAATGAACGATATTATCTACACTAAGGGAGAGATGATGAGTTTAGCCTCACAATAGGCTAGCAATAATATGATTCAATTAATTGTTTATTAAATATTATTTTCTTTATTATTAATGTAAATTCTATAGAGATCGATTTTATGATGTGAATTCAACTGCTTTAATTAGCTTGTGAGTGATTTCTTCTAGCATGATCTAAAATTATTCATTTACTTCAAATATTTGACTTTCCTTTTATCAATTTACGCATATAAATACATTTAAAACATATAAGTCGCAAATAACACGTCGTGATTCAAAAAATATCTTCTACATGAAGGCTAGTTTAAACAAAACGCGTTGAACCCATGTGACACGTTTGAATTTCATAATAGGACACAACACGCATAATGATGCTAGGATTTTGACAAGTCCATCCAGAAACCGCACAACAATTTCTGCCAAGATCAAATGGGAAATGAGATCAAATCAAATATTATGCACCTAAAATGGGTGTGGCCTTTGTGGCCACAATAAGTATCTGACACATATTAAATTCATGACAACAAAATTAAGAAAAATTAAGATATTGAATACGTGTCAGACACTTATTGAGATCATAGATAGGCCACACCCATTTTAAGTGCAGAAGATTTGGTCTCATGGGAAATGTATTCTTTTCACATAACGCATTAATTGACCAATTATTCACACCAATGGAGTTTGGAGTTTGGATGAAATAACTTACAAGTTTCCTTGGAAGACTTTGAACAGACTATTCAATGACAATAATAGTTGATAGGTGCATTTAGACCGATAGACAAAGAGACGCCGATATTCAACAAATTAATAAATTAAAGTTGAAAAGTCTTCGGAACCTTTTAGGGCTGGTTTGGAGTTTTGGTATTTAAAAAAAAAAACAGCTTATTAAAACAATCTAGAACGTGTTCGATAAAATAAAAAGATGTAATTTTTTTTTAAATGCTATCAATAATAGTAGAAAAATATATAAAATCAGAAGTAGAGTTTACCATGCTTCTAAAAAAATGTTTTTTTTTTCAAAGCATAGTGAACAAAAACATTTTCAAATGACAAGTATAGTCCCGCATATTTTACAAATTTACAATTTTTGTACCTGTATTATTCTCATTGGCAATTATTATACCACATTAAATATCATTTATATTTTTAGTCATTTAACATATTTACAACAATTTTATATAATAGTTTACCAAACACTAAGATATTGTTTTTTTTTTTGTTAAAAACACTTTTACAAAAAAAAATTTATCAAACACTCAACAACTTAATTTTACTGCTGTTTATTCTCACAACATAGTAGAAACAATTTTTTTTTTTAAAGTACAACAATATCAAACTAGCATTTAATACCAAATACATCGGTTTCAACTTTCAGGTCTTCTTTTCTACTTTTCCTTGTAGTTCACTACATTTTTTTCTTCTTATTACAAGCGATATTAGTATTGTTATTCAAAACTATATTGT